TCTGTGACTGCTATAAATGGTATTTTTGTGTTCTACAAACGCGATTTTCTCAAAACAGTATTTTCTGAGTTTATATAGACGATAAAAACAATTCTAATAAACCGATTGAACTGTTTCTAGGCTTGTTTTGTAGTTGATTAGTTCCTCTTCTAGGTGAACCTAAATGTTCTTGAAAAACGTTATATTAGACTAATTTTTTTGCAACACATATTTGAAACTTTTTGATAAAAATCGTAACTTTTCTTTCAAAGTCGTTGAAAGTTAACAATTTTTGCTTTTCTTGTAAAGTTTTTGGTTTAACTAGAAGGTAATTACATACAATTAACAAAAATAATTGTTTCTTTTGTCTCAGATAAAAATTACAATCGTTACAGTGTACACAGTGGAACATCTGCAGCAGTTTGGCACTACTCACTTGGCTCCATTTTTTAAACAAATAATCAATATTTTTTTATGAAAAAATTATTTTATAGAGATAAAATATGTAATAAAACATTCCTAAAATTTGGAAGTGATTGGTTTTATTCTAGCTGAAAAACAAATTTCTAAAAATCATACATTTTTCGACCTCGTAAACCAGGTTTCCCCCTTAAATTAAAACCGTAATTAGGAGCGACTTCTGATTTGTTTACAAGCGCCGTCGATTCGGGCAGATGTGCATTAATACGCCGCGTGTTCCTCGCGGGCACGTGCACGATCCCGGCTAAATCGAGCAGTCATACCGGCTGTCGGAGAGTTACGAGACGGCAATCACTCAAAGAGTTTTACGAGACACGGTCGAAGGTAACGTGTCGAAAGGGTCGGACCTTTTCACCGCTCGAGGAAATATGCACGTTCACGGGCAGGAAATACATGCTCCGCTCCGCTTCCGTACGCATATGCGTGACAGACACGCAAGTGCGCACGCGTACGCGCGCGGCCCTCGCCTCAACTCGAGATCATCGCTAAATATCCAGGTGTACTCGCAGGTATATTTCGGGCGTCTGATAAGTGCGCTCAGCTCGGTCCAGTGTTGAGCGTTAATCGATGGAAATTTCCTTCGACTAAAATAATCAACAAGCCAAAATTAATCAGTCGTCATGTATAAAATCGCAAACAATTTCATTGATTGACGAAGCTAATTATTAATCAAAAGCTTTGATGTGGTTTTTTTATATACTGATTAATAATTAATTCCAACACTCGGTCAAACAGCCCATAATTACGTACATGACGACTCATTAACTTTGATTATTGATTCGCCGATTGTTCGAAACAGATTTTCGAAACTTAGTCGAAACAGATTTTCGTCGATTAAGGCCTCTGGCGATAAACACAATGGCCTTCCAGAGTTCTTATCTATGGTAGTCACAGCCAGGTGTTTTGTGTGTACCTTCAGTATTACCAGTTGTTCAAAGCTCTGAAAGCAACTGAAAGCAACTTGGAAACTCTCGACAGGAGATGAAAATCCGAGGGAATTCAAGCATGGCAAACAGATACAAACGACGCGGTTGAAACTCTCGAAATTGTTCACCGTAACGTAATCACTCTTTCTTGGCTATAACTATAAATTTGGCTCTCGTCGCTATTTGATCTAACTGGGCCCTGTGTGGGTGAAGCGATCACGTGTACAGGACACGCGAATAAGATAGATTCGAAAAGGAAAAACGGGAAAAAGAGATCCTCGCACGAGGGTTGTAAGAAGAGCGCGCACATGTGTGGTTTACCTCCGCTCTTCCTCGGCGCCGACGGCAAAGGCGTCCTTCGGCCCGACTTCGCCGTCCTTGTCTATCCCGAAATAACGTTTCGTACGCGAGGCGCACATGGGCGTTTCTTCGTACGACTGCCAGATGCGTGGGTGGTGGCAGTGAAGAAGAGAAGGAGAGCATGAGCTGCGAGGCGAGCGATCATATGGCAGTGCCGCCGTTGGGACTCCCTCCTGGCCTGGCTTGTCAGTGCTTCGTGAAGTGTTGCGCCGTACCCGCGCACAATCCCTGACCGAGCACGACCCCGACCAAGTGCTCGTGGTACCTCGGCGGGCAACGTGCGGGCGACCTGGCAGCTTCTCGAAGAAGCGCGCCGCGAACTTTCTCACTTCGCGGGTACTCCAAGTTTCGCACTTCCGACTCGGCAGCACGCAGAAGAATAAGTGGAAGCTGCGAGCTCTTCTGGATATTCACTCCCTGACCAAGAGAAGCGCGTTGTGGCGCATCGTGATGCCACGAGCTGACTGATTGTCATCGCTCGCCTTCGCCGAGATCGTAATTGACTATGTTAATTGAGTGTCAAACGTGCGTCCGACAACCGCGACGACGGATTGTGCACGGTGTTCTCGCAACGAGAATCGTGCATTATTGTGAGCGGAGAGAAGACGTTCGAAGAAATCTCATAGTACCCCTCGCCTGCCAATGATCATTCTCGCGTAATAACGGAATGTTTCGTTGACATGTAATGACAAAAGGAAGCGATGGGAATCGGCGATCGCTCTCATGGAATGAAAGAACGTCGACAACCCGTGTACTCGAAGTGATCGTCCAAGCGACATGACTTGTTCTTTCTGCCGCGAATCTCTTCTCCGGCGCGAGTTTAAGTCGAACGATCTCGAGCAAGTCGCAGAACGCATGGGGATCAGACAATGTGGACGTAATTAGCGGCGAAACACTAAAGGTGAGTTGAAAGACGCGCGTTGTGTAAGTCTCTTGGGTTCGTATAAATAGTTGTTGTCTGAGACTAGTCTCATGGGAGAGATGTTCAGATTTTTATGCACATTTAAATCCAAGTTTTTCAGTTAAACTGTATGATGTTTGCCACATTTGTATCTGTAATCGACTGGAAAACTCTTTCATCGAATTCTGAATTTAATCTGAATATCTCACTTGAGACAAGTTCCAAGCAATAACTATTAATATAAGCCTTAATCCCGTATTAATAATCGTTACTTCGAACTCACCTCAAATGAAATGTTCAATTTTCAATTTAGAGTCACATATATCATATAATTCAACTGAAAAATGATCTAATCTCGCATTCAGATCCAAGTATCTCATGTAAAGAAAGTTTCAAATAATAATTATTAACATGGAGCTAAAGCCCGTTTCACTTATCTCAAGTGAGTGTATATTCAGATATTCAAGTGTATATTCATCTCAAATATATTCAGATTTCAATTTAAAACTGTATGTTTTTTATGATATAATTCGAAAATTCAGATCTAATTTTGCATTCAGACTTGAGTCTCTCTCTCTCTCTCTCTCTCTCTCTCTCTCTCTCTCTCTCTCTCTCTCTCTCTC